AGGATTATGTACGATGTTCATGATCGTAAAGCCAAGGTACTGGTGTGTGAGGTATCACAGAAAAGGAAAGTTATTGTTTTCGTTCAAACTGAAACAACATGCAAAGTATTTGCGCTATCTTTAAAAAGTATACTTTTAAATTTTATTATAGCTTAATTAACACTGGTTTTGAAAATGCAATTTACTCTTCTAATTTTGACCATCTAACTGAATAGGAGCCTATTCTTTCGTGCCCAGCCTGGTTCACATATGATCGCAGACGATTGCAGGCCATCGCACTTTATCAGCAGCGATCATCTGCGATTATACATGAACACCTCTGCGATCGTGTGTGATTGAGTACGACTGCAATCGCAGGCAATCGCACGAATAGAACCATGTTCTACTTGTGCCATCGGTTGCAATCATCTGCTATCAAGTGCCATCATATGTGAACAAAGTTCTGCAATCATGCAATTGGAATGTGTCCAATAATGCTCTGCAAGTGGCATGATACCATGGCAACCGGTTGTTTATCAACTTTTACACGAGCTTGTGTTTTTACAAGATGGAAGGTGAAATTTACACGGAACAGTTTATGGAAGAAATTAGAAAATACGATTGTTTGTTCAATCGCTTTAACAAAGAATTCTCTCTTTCTTAAGACTTTCTGCAGTAAGAAGCGACGTTTCTTCTTTGATCTGGCAGCGATTCTCCATTTAAGTAAAAACCACAGAGGCAGAATGTTAACACCTATTAAAAGTTCAGCATCCTTTGCATTTATGTTGGTTGACTGGAGTTACATTGTATTTCCGCTGAATGGTAGACCACGGACTCGGTTGTCAGAGATCACTGCGATCGGCTGCGATCACATGTGAACATGCGATTCGCGATCTTCAATTGAGTGGTTTCAGCAATTATGCGATCGCCTGCGATCATCTCTGATTGTCTGCGATTAGATATGAACCAGGCTTTAACAAGATAAGTTTTTGCAACACAACTTTTAATCATCATCTTTTGTTTTCATTGCATTGTAATCTCCACATACATTTATTGAACTGAAAAATGGTGTCTGGGATTCGTAAGTTCTTACTTGTTTGGAATAGGTGTCTACACTGAAAAGAACCAGGTAGAAGTAAAATAAATGTTCAAAAGATAAGAAAATGTTGAAATAGAAATCACAGACAATGTTTTTTTAGTTCAATTTGTGCATGTCTTGTTTCTACGAAAAACAAAAGATTGCTGAGTTAAAAGTTGCTATTTTAGTTTCAATGATGATGATAATCTCCTTTATGTGATACCTGAGGGTTCAACTGGAGGCTGATTTGGTGAATTTTGGACAATTTTGAGAATAACACATCTCATAACAGATTTGTTACGGTGACTTTAAATTTTCACATAATTTGTACTCAAAGTTCACAAAGTAACCAGGTGGACAATCAGACTTGGTTTGATGCTACTCTAGTTAAAGATTTAATGAATTGTAACTTCTTGGTTACATTCATAAAATCTTTAAACAGAGTAGCATTAAACCATGTCTGATATTTTGTACTTATTGACTGAATGTTTAATATTTTAAGATAAGTGTGGTGTTTTCTTCTTTGTATTTTCTGGATGATGTAGCCAAGAAAACTCAGAAGAACTGGGGAACAAAGTCTCAAAC